AGGGAATAGAAAAGGGGACCCACACAGGAAACTAGGTCCCCAGCTAGGGCATTTCCCCAGTGAGGAAACTGAGGCAGGAGTGGGAAAGACGCACACATTACCTGGATGAGCCATAAGGGAGAGATCAGGGCTTTTTAGTTTCTTCCCATCGGACACTTGGCAAATTGGCTCCCAGGATGGTGTGAGCGAGGGGAAGGAGAGAGAGAAATAGGGCTGGGAGTTGGGTAGAGCATCTGCCTGCAAGCAAGGCCGTGGGCTTGACCCTTGGCACCAGAAAGAAGGAAAACAAGAGATGCTGAGAAAAAAGAGAGAGAGAGGGGGTAGGGAGGGCTGGAGAGGGGCTGAGGGGCGGAGGGGAGCTAGAGGGAGGGAGAGAAGCAAGACTGCGTCCAGGCTGGACAGACTCACAGACAAAGGAAGTCTTCGCCTCAAACACAAGCACAGACTAGGGAGGGGAAGGAGAGCCCTGAAGGGGACCAGGGGGCAGGGGCTGGGGGTCCCAGCAGAGGGACCTGCAGGGATCAGGGGGTCAGAGCAGAGGGGAGAGGGAGGGAGGAGGGGGCAGATGGGAGAGGGGCAGGGGGGCGGGGCCGGAGCAGGCCCTGAGGGGTTGTGTGTATTTGGGGAGATCTCACTTCCAGATCATTCCAGGGCCCAGAACAGGTGGTGAGGAGACAGTTCTAGAAGCCCCGCCCACTGCTGATAGGCGCGTGAAAGAGGGGCGTGGGGGGGTAGAGTGGGAGCCACCCTCCCTCGGGGAGAGGCTGGCCAGTGACCACCCAGGATCCGGGCAAGCACACCCACTGGCCTCACACAGAACCCGGGCACGGGCCCAGCGCGCTCAGCCCGCCCACCGCCTGGCTCCAGGCTGATTACAGCCAAAGTGCTAAAAGGCTCCAGACCGCTCCCCCACCCCGCCTCCACGAGCCTCCCCCGCGCCTGCGCCCGCAGCCCTCCCGCCCTGCCCCCACCCCCGCGGGCTCTCCCCGGGCCCCGGGGGGAATCTCACCCGGGCTGGAGGAGGGGACCCTGCAGTCCTGCCCCCCCAGCCCGCGCTGGGGCTGCTCCTTCCTTCCCTTCCCTGCCGAGTCCTGGTGGCCTCTGACACGAGGTCCCACCCGCTGGGGCCTCATAATTACCAAGGAGAGGACCTGCGGCTGTGGCGCCGGCACGGAGCCCTCGACCTCTCTTCCAAGCCCCTGGGTCTCCCCCAGCCCCTTCTCTCGCAGGGGCAGGCGAGCGCGGGAACCTGGAGGCGCCCTACCCGATGGCTCTGGGTTTGCAGGCTCCCTCCGGCGCAGGGGAGCAGCAGGAATTCCTTGACTCCCATCCAAACCTCCCCCAAGCCTTCCTCGGCCCTTCTCCCTGCTGGTTACCATCCACACCACCTCCCACCCACTGGGAAGCAAGAAGGTCATCAGTGAAGGGGGCCGGGAGGGGTGGGGGGGGGCAGTCCCGGGCTGTAACCAGGACTCACCTCCACCAGCTTCCCTGGCTCATCCCCACGCCTGTCAAGGAAAATCCAGCTCACTCAGCTAAGGACAGAGTGAAGGAAGATGATGGTGGAAGAACAGGGGACCCTTCTCTTGGGTCTCCCTTTTCAGGAGAATGAGGCTGAGGTTTGTGGAAAAGGCTCAGAACTCTGGTTTCTGAGTCTCTCTTCCAAATCCTTAACCGTTAAGCTCGGACACCCCCCTTGCCCCTCTCAGATGCAGGGGGACAGGCCTGCAGGAGGGGGGCGGCTGGACCCAACTCACCTGGCCCTGTGTTGTTGGGGCCAGGCCAGTGCTGGGCCCAGCTGTGTACCACAACTGGACTTCCTAGCTGGGGCCGGCTCGCTGTGCCCCTAGCCAGAAGGGGGCGGGGGAGTAGAGGGAGGGGACGGTCAGGCGCTCCCTGGGCGCCTGCAGCCTTGACCCTCTGCCTGCAGGCCCCACGCAGTTCTTTGCGTGCGGAGCAAGTTTTCCAGAGTGTCTAGGGCCTTGAGACTGGGAGTTTATTTTGAGATTTGAAGCTCCAAAGTGGCAGATCCCAGAAAACCTCTTCTCTGGCTCTGTATTTGTTCCCCAGTGAAGTGGCTGAGTGCGGCTCTCTGTCAGCTGGCTCCTGCAGCCTTGAGTTCCTGCCCGGGTTAGGGGTGCAGTGGAGAAAGGAAGACCAAGGAGCAGCCCCACTGGGGTGGGGGCGGGGGTAGGAGTCCCCCCACACACACCTGGGGGGAAGGCAGAGGGCAGGGGAGCTGTGAGCCCTGGGGAGCAGCCCTGCACCTGCACCCAGAGCTGCTGGTTGGGGTGCAGGGGCTCAGTTCAGCAACAAGCCTCTGTGCCCAGACCAGTTCCACTTGACAAAGACAGGGCCTCCCTCCTGGGCTAGTGTGGGTGGGGGGAGGGGCCCTGCGGGGAGTGGGAGGGGGGAGGATCCATCCAGATTGAGGGCTGATGTGATCATATCCAGCTCCCCAAACCCCCCCCCCCCCCCAGTCCCATGTCACACCCAGACCCCAGCAGGCGGGAGTCTGGGAGCTTCATCCTGACCCCCACCACCGCCAGCACACTGACCACTACCCAGCATAGGCTGTGTTCAAGCCGGGAGGAGGTGAAAGGAAGGTCCTGAGGAAAGCACCCCCAGGCTCTCAGGAAGAGAGTGGGTCCCACTGCTCTCTCCGCTGCTCACGGGAGCTCAGTAAAATCTGCTTCTTCTTAAGCATCCTGGAAGAGCAAGAGGGGCAGCTGGTCTATTGGTCAGGCAGGCTGTTGGCCCAGCTGGGTTCCTGTGTTCAACCTTCTCCCACCCCAGAGATAAAGCATCTCGACTGCAGACTGGGACAGCCCTGTCCCCTCTGACGTCTTCCTCCTCCTCCTCCTCCTCCTCCTCCTCCTCCTCTTCCTGCTTTCCTCCCCCAACCCCTTCTCCAGCCAATGCTGGCCAGGCTCTTGCCAGCCTGTGCTCACCTGAAGGGCATGGGGGCTCTTTCTTGCAGTGACCTACTGGCACTGTGCCCTTTTGCGCCCATGGCACCTTACTGACCTTGGACATCGCGATCACCTACTTATCGTGTCACACCTGCACCCTGCTCTGCACCCACCCTGTTGCTCCCTAGCTCAAGAGGTTTTTTCTGCCCGATCCTTTCCTGCCTTTTCCCCATCAAAGGGAATCTCTGTGAGGGCAGAAATGACGTGATTTTGCCTGCTCCTCTGTTGTGACCTTCAGTACCGAGGCCAGGTTGGTCCCTGCTGAAGAAGGAAGAAGCCTAGTGGCTGGATGGAGCAGGCAGCACTCAGGTCCTGGCGGGTTGTGAAGAGATAAGGCTCCCCGGGCCAGCTGCACACTGTCCACTCACCCTGCACTCTGCAGTGCCCCCACCCCAGAAATGATAGTGAAGCTGGTTTGGGGTGTCGGTGGGCAGTTTCCAGTGCCTTTTTTTTTCATAGTAGGGCTTTAGGGTTTAGATAAATCACGGGAAGAGGCAAGCAAGACTTGGAAATGAGGGCCTAGTTCTGGAGAAACTGAGGCTGGAGGGGTTGCTGTCAATCAGCAGGACCTTTATAAAGAGGAAGACCCAGGGTCTAGATTTTTTCTCCAATACCTGGGGTCGGCCATTCTGCACCCACCTCTCGCCCTAGGCTCTTCCTGCCAACCAGGGATGTTGAGGAGTGGGCGTAGCTTCCCCATGCCTTCCCCATGTTCCATGCCTTCAGATTGGGAAGGGGGACGGAGGGGAGCAGGGGAGGGGGGCACCGGGAAGAGGGAAGGGGAGAAATGACACCTGGCTTCCACTCTCCGGACCTCCTCCCTCCCTGTCTTGGATAGGGGAGAGCCCTCCAGAGGGGTGGGTAACCTGCTACTCCCTCCCCACAAACACACAGACCTAGACTGTGTCCCCTTGGTAGTTTACATCCTTCTGGTTCTTTGAACACGCAGTCCTGCTCTGCAGGTCTAGGGGGAAGTGGCTTGGAGCTCGGTCCCTGAGTGGTTGGGGGATACACAGGGTGGGGGGGGGCAAGAATCAGGTTGAAGTTGGGGTCTCCAGTGGCATGGTGAGAGCCCCTCCCTGAGGCCAGTTCCTGCAGCCCCGAGGCCACTGGGGGGGGGGGGAGGGCTAAGATGCAGAGGACCGGGGTTGCAGCTTCCTGGGATATCGACTTCCGGGGGTGCAGATTCCTGGGGAAGGGGTGCAGACTCTCAGGGATGCAGCTTCCCGGGGTGCATATTCCTGGGGGTGCAGACTCCTGGGGAAGTGTAGACTCCGGGGTGTAGATTCCGGGGGTGTAGATTCCAGGGGTGTAGACCCACGAGGTGCTGATCCCCAGGGTGTAGAGTCCGAGGAGGCAGACCCCTGGGGGTAGATTCCAGGGGTGCAGACTCCCGGGGATGTGGGGATGTAGACTCCGAGGGTAGAGATCCCTGGGGTGTAGATTCCGGGGATAGACTCCCGAGGTGCAGACTCCCAGGGTGTAGACTCCCGGGGGTGCAGACACCCGGGGTGTAGATTCCGGGGTGTAGACTCCTGAGGTGTAGACTCCCGGGATGTAGACTCCCGGGGGTGCAGATACCCGAGGTGTAGATTCCGGGGGTGCAGACTCCGGGGGTGTAGACTCCCGGGGGAGTGTGGACTCCCGGGGGTGTAGACTCCCGGGGGTGCAGACTCCCCGGGTCGCCGCTCCCGGGGACGCGCGTTGGGTCTGTTTCATAGAGGCGCGCACGCAGCCTCGAGGCCGGGGCGCGTGCCGGGCGCTCGGAGCTGGGGCCGCCGGGGAGGGGTGGGCACCCACGGGCGCACCCACGCGCGCCGGCCGGCCTGCGGGGCGCTAGGACCCGGGGGCGCGGCGCGGGGGCTCCGCGGGGCGCCCCGTCGCGGCCCCGGCGAGCAGGTGGGGGCGGCGGGCGGGCGCGCGGGCGGAGCCGCCCTGGGGGCCGCGGGGTCCGGCTCGCCCCGCCCCGCGCCGTCCAATGAGAGCCGCAGCCGCCGCCCGCCGAGCACTCGGCCCGCAGCCCCGCGGGCCCGGCGGGAGTCTCGGGGCGCTATGCGGGGGCCGGGCAGAGCGGAGCCCGCCGCGCTGCGCTCCCCTCGGCGCGCCCCGCCGCCCGGCGCCCCCGACGGCCCGCGGGCCCGCCTGCCGCTGCTGCTGCTGCTGCTGACGCTACCGGCCCGCGTGGACACGTCCTGGTGGTGAGCGGGCGCCGGCCGGGTCGGGTGCCAGGGCAGGTGGCCGCGCCGTGGCCTCGGGGACGCAGCGGTCCGAGGGCGGCGGGGGCTGCGGGGCAGGGGCGCTCGGCGGGGCGGTGCCCGCGCGGCTGCGGCGGCTCACGGGCACAAGCTGCCCTTCGGGTCCACTCTCTCGGGCTATTCCAGGAACCTGTCTCCCGCCGGGGTCCTCGGAACCCGGTCCCCTCCCCTCGGGGGCGCCCGAGCCTCTCCGGGCCACCTAGTCCGGGCTTCCGAGCACCGGGCAGGAATCGGGGCAATCAAACCGAACCGCCCAACCCACCCCCAGTAGCCCCCATGATGGAAACAAACAGGACACTGGGGTTGGCAGCACGCAAGCACCCGTCTGCAGTGCCTGCCCCTGGATCGTCACTTCGACTAGGCTCTCCCTTTCCTTTCCCTTCCCCAGATCCGTCTCCTCCCCTCCTCCGAGTTTTCGGGAGCCCCCTACTATCGCCCCCTCTCCTCCAGATACTTCCCGGGAGGAAGGAAGCAGCAGGTTAAAGATCAGGAGGGGTGTCAGGCCTCCAAGACCCACCCTTCCCCACTAACCCCTCGCTCCTTATCTCCCCGGGGTCTGGGGCAGGGAGCAAGGGAGGCTGTTGGAAGGTAGAAAGACTCAGTTAGCCTGGCCTGGCCCCTGGCACCTCTACCCATGCGCTGCCCCCTGCCTTCCCCTCCGCTGATCCTCTTGTCCTTGCACCCGGTGCTTTCCCCCAGGGACTGGAAATCTTGGCCCAAAGGGTGAGGGGAGATAGCTGAGCCCCCACCCCCACCCCCCACACATCCCAGCTCTCCGCCGCACATTCCTATCACTTCAAGATGCGCTCCTCCATCCCACCCTCTTAACACCCCACCACCCCCGCCCCGTTTTCCTGTTTCAGAAAAATCTCTCTTTTGGATCTTTTTTATCTCTGCAGTGCTGGGGAAGGCAGGGCGGGGGGTTCTGGATGGGGGAGTGGGGAGGCCCATATCTCCCATCTGGCTGGAAACATTCCTTTAGAAAGGGAAAGGGAAGGGGGTGGAGGGGAGGAAAACCTTCCAGAGTTCAGCAGGAGATCAAAGCCAGCCTTCTGCTTCGCGCTCCGTGGGGCTGGGCACGCGTGTCCGCAGTGGCCAGAGAGGAAGCCCACTGGGCTCTTTCCCCACTGCCCCAGTGGCAGTGGACATCTTGGGGCCCTGGACTGCCGCTCACTAGTTTGGGAGGCAGGGCTCCTTGGCTAGGGCGGCCACCCTGAGTGGCTCCTTGGAGACTCAGCTGAGGTCCTGCCTGCTCCCCATTTGGTCCCTTGGCCACTGGCTCACGCTTTCCCTTTCTCTACTGCTCTTGCCCCACGTGGTTCATATTAAAGATTTTGGAAGAACTCCTGGCAGGAGCAAGCCCACGGCGCTGTGGGTGCTGAGCAGCAGCAGAGGGAGTGGGGGCAGGGGGGACGGACAGCAGCGGGGTCACAGGACAGGAGGCAGGAGTGGGGTCAGTGGGGTGTCCTCGGAGCTTCAGGCCCCGGGAGCTGCTTCTCGGGGATCAAGGCTTTGGGGTGACACAGAGGCTGCTTTAGATGATCTCTTTTCCTTAAGAAGCCCAGCAAGGTGGCCATTCTGCAGTCCCTGGAGAGATGCCTGGGGACTGTCTGCAGGGGAGAGGTCACCCCCTCCTCTGGCTCACAGCCCATCTTCCTCACAGTCCGCCCAGACTCCAGCCACTCCTGGCCTCTCTCCGTGTAGCCAGAGGAGAAAAAGATGACCTCTCTCTTCTTTTGTTTTGGGGGCCACACCCAGTGGTGCTCAGGGCTTACTCCTGACTCAGCACTCAGGGATCACGCAGGGTTGGGATGCCTTGGATCAGGACCGAACCTAGGTCTGCCACATGCAAGGCAGGCGCCCTGCCCACTGGACTGTCGCTCTAGCCCCTAGATGACCTCTTCTCAATCCAGGATTCAGAGAAGAAACAAGTATTCCCACCCGGGGTCAGGGACTTGAACAAGCCGCAGCTTTCACAGATTCACAGGAGGAGGGAACTGGTGTGACAGCAAAGTGGCATCACTGTTCTGGGCACCAACCATTAACAAACCCTCACTGAGGGCCACAGTGGCCTCTGAACAGCAGCACCTTCAGGCCCCAGAGAATCCCACAGAGATAGTATACATCCTCTCTGGTGCATTTTAAGAGATCAGTGGTAGGGAACTTGCTCAAGTTCATGCCCGTGTTGGGGCCAGGCTGGTCCACTCCTGGGTGAGCACTGCCTCTCTCCCTGTGTATGCCCTTGGAATGAAAATGAGCTCCCACCCTGGGCACTGACGCCTTTGCTCCCTGCTGATTCCTTGTGGTGGATGGACAGAGCTGGGTGTTTCAGTTAACCTCCTGTTTGTTCACCTCTAAAACAGATTGCCAGCTCCTCTTCTTCTCCCCCCTCCCCACCCATCTCTCTCTTTCATAGAATTTTTGTGTAGAATGTTTTGCGAATCCTAAAGTACCATATAAATGATGTAGAAAGAGTCCGAGAGGGTAGCAGTTTTATGTCTCTGTTCAGAGATCATCTGTGGGCTAGGCTGAACCATGTGCAATACTTTCGGTTGTGAAAGAAACGGGGGTGGGTGGGGTGGGAATAATGAGGATCCCTGGCCTCATTAAAAAGACACAAACATAAAACATCTGCAGATAGGCTGGCAATGGCAGCAAGGAGTACAGCTATAATTAAAAAGAAGTTTATGGCTGGCAAGGGGAAGAAGGGGGCTGGGTGAGGCCGGAGAGATGGTACAGCAGGTCGGATGCCTGACCTGGGGGTCAGTAGACCCTGGTTCCATCCCGGTACCACGCGTGGTCCCCGAGCATCTCTGGAGGTGATCCCTGAGCACAGTTGAATGTGACCCCAACACCAAAAGGCCAGAATTAGGGATAAATCAAAGAGGTTAGTTTTTTTAGGGTTTTGTTTTTGTTTTGCCACACCCGGGGATATCCCAGGCTCCTCCTGGTTCTGCACGCAGGGATCACTCCTGGCAAGGCTCAGGGGACAATATGGGTTGGGGATCCAACCCAGATCTGTCGTGTGCAAGACAAGTGCCCAGCTCGCTGTGCTATTGTTTTGGCCCCAGGAGATGAATCTTTTATTTAGCAAATAGCTGTTAAGTCCTGTGTCCCAGACACTGTTGTAGGCATAGGGATATCGTCATGAACAGAACAGAAAAGCTCCTGCCTTGAATCACCTGGGGATGGTAAGGAATCGATTCTGACTCCGCGGGCCTGGGGGTACAGAGTCTCATCATTTCCAAGAAGTCCCCAGATGCTCCTGACACAGGTGCTACTCTACTCTAGAGAAGGGTTGGGGTCACTTTGTCAAAGGAAGGAATGTGAACTCTTCAAAGCAAGCGAAGGACAGAGAGATAGCACAGCCAGTAGGGCACTAGCCTTGCATATGGCCAACCCAGGTCTGATTCCCGGCATCTCATAATGGTCCCCTGAGCACAGCCAGGAGTAATTTCTGAGCTCAGAGCCAGGAGTAATAAGTACCATTGGGTGCCCCCCCACACACACCAAAAAAAAGCAGGTGAAGCGAGCACTCTGAGAGCAGAAAGCTAGAAAACACAGAATGCCAGGGCTCCCCCTGAGCCCCTCTAGCAGCCTCTGAGCTGGGGGAGCTTTAACTGTTAGTGCCCCCAGCAATGGAGCTCTGTGCTTGGCCCCTGTGGGCATGTGCTGGCCGAGAGCCGCCTGGGCTCCTGGCTGGGCCCCTTACACCCTCTCACGGGGTTGAAGGCAGTTTCTTGAAGCAGTTGTGGCTGGAGTGATAGTCTGGCAGGTAAGGCCTTGCCTTGCATGCCACGGACCTGGGTTTGATCCCCAACACCCCATAGGGTCACCACAGGGTGCTCCTGGAGCGTCAGGCCAGAAGTAAGCCCTGCAGGGTGTAGCCAAAAAGAAAACCCCAGGAATCTTGAAACCGTTTACTTAGTGGTGTAAGTAGGAAACGTAATGATCTTCCTGTCATAGATACTGGACAGAGGTTCCCACGCTCAGTGTGGATGGAAGGAGGGCCGTGTGGGCTGCAGCAGGATGGACTGAAGTCAGACCACAGGAAGGACTTTTTGCCAGCGTGTGGCCACCTCACTGAGGCTGTGTCACGAGGGTTGGATGACTGGCCTCCCACTCCCGCAACCCCGTTCCTCCCAGACCCAGTTAGAAAAACAAACGCCCGCGGCTCTGCACGATGCTGGGGCTGGGCCGTGGCAGGCGAGTGAGACCAGCTCCAACACCCAGCGTCCCCTTTCTCCAAACAAAGGCTCCGGGGTGACTCCGCAGGCAGCCCTTTTCCGGGTGTTTATTTTGTTTGTCCCTGGGAACTGTTGCCTGCCGGACAGTGCAGGGGACGCTGATTCTGGGATTTGTGAGCTGCGGGCCAGCCAGCTCGGCCCGCCCCCCGGACAGATGGGCCCCATCAGCCCCGCTGAGTTCCCGAAGAGGCCAGCATCAGCCCTCCTTGTGTTTGTTTGAGTTGGGTGTCACCGCTGGTGATCCAGTCTGTGGGTGAGGGCAAACGGTGGGAATGTGGGGGGCGCGGGTGGGGGCGCCGAGTGTCCCCCCTCTCCCCACCGTCACCCTTTTTCACCTTCTTGTAGGCCCACATTGGGCCCTTTCCCAAACCACAGGCTAGTCACAGCCCAGACCAAACCTTCTCTGCAGGCGCAGCTGCCCTTCAGCCCGGGGTACCCACCTGTTGAGCAGACAGGAGCAAGGGGCACCTCCCTGCCTCTGGGAACTGCCCGCAGCAGTGCCAGGAGGATGCAGGGGCAGGAGAGCCGAGGGGGAGGGAGAGCTGGTGAGAGGGTCCGAAGGCAATCAGGCTTCAGAGCTAGCTCCTGGCTGTCCTGCTGTCTGAGTCCCAAGCCAGGAGTACGGGGAGGGATGAGGCTTCCCGAGACCACGGGGACGGATTCTGGCCACGTATCTGTCTTTTACTAGCACAGCCCAAGTTGATCTTAGGAGTGTTGGTGCTGGGCCCTGAGTGTCAGTGGCTGTGTGGCCACCAGGACGTGCAGCCCACAGGCGGCTTCTTGGAATAGTGGGAGCATCATCTGGGGGACCTGACGGCTGTCCACTTCTCCTCTCCCCCCAGGCCCACCCTCCTCCTTCCCTCGACCCTGTTTCAGGGACCCGCCTTGCGGTCTGGGCCTCTGACATGTGGGTGTGAGTATTGCTCCAGACTCCCATTCTGTTAGTTTGTTTTTTTCTGTGAGGACCTTCCTGCTCATTAAATAAACAGACCCTGGGATTGTGTGACATCCCCATAGCTTCTGTGTACGTGACACATGTGGGGGGGCCTTGTGTGCGGGGACCAGGGAGCAGAAGTGTGGGAGCCACTCACTGACCCTTTGACGGGCAGTGGGGAACGGTGGCGCCCGGCATCCTGGGGATGTGGGCCGGGGCAGGGAGCGGGCTGGGATGCTGACAGGGCCGTCTCCACCTTGCAGGTACATCGGGGCACTGGGGGCCCGAGTAATCTGTGACAATATCCCGGGTCTGGTGAGCCGGCAGCGGCAGCTGTGCCAGCGGTACCCCGACATCATGCGCTCAGTGGGAGAGGGTGCGCGCGAGTGGATCCGAGAGTGTCAACACCAGTTCCGCCACCACCGATGGAACTGCACCACGCTGGAGCGGGACCACACTGTCTTTGGCCGTGTCATGCTCAGAAGTAGGGGCCCTGCTCCCCAGCCCCGGTGCCTTCCCTTCCTAGACATGGGGGTTGGGGGTGCGAGGCATGGTGCCCACGCCCGTCCGACCCAGCACCCGTAACCAGAGGACACTTGGGACAGAGCCTCAGTCCCTTAGCTACGTGGGTAGGGGTCCCGGGAATCCCAGTGCTCCGGGATGACGGGACGAGGGTTCCCGAGCACTTCCGTCTTTCTTCTCCCTCTCCTCCCCCCACCCCCAGCCTGGAGGTTTCCTTGCTGGAACAAGGCTGAAGACTAGGACTGGCTGCTCGGTTCTTACCGCCACCATCACTACCCTCACCCCAGCACCCCCAGCTCTACAGTAATGGGAGCAGGAACTAAACAGAAAGGTGATATGTAAATATTTGGAGAGTCAGCGGCTTAGCCTCCCCGTTCAGCCAAACAACTAAACAGTTAGACAGTCAACGAGGAGGAAGGGAGCGAGATGGGAGCCTGGAGATGTTGGGGACAGGAGTGATGAGTCACCGCCCCAGAGCAGGGAGGGGAGGAAGCAGGCAGTGGACAGGCTGGCCTCCGGTCCCCAGGGTCCTCTCTCGAGGAACTGTCCAGCAGAGTGGGTTTAAGAGCCTGGACAGACAGGGCAGCTCTCTTGGCGGGAGGGGTGACTTGCCTGCAGCTTGGCCACAGCTGGCCCCGGGAGTGTGGAAGGAAGTCAGCACAGGTCAGCTGAGAGGCTGGAAGCACAGGCCAGGGCAGAGCAGAGAGGGGAGCGGCCTGGGGTGTGATGCTGGGAGGGGAGAGGGATGAGGGGCTGTGGGCGCAGGCCGCCTGCGTGCTCACTGTGCCTGCCTTCCTCTGTGGTCCAGGTAGCCGGGAGGCAGCGTTTGTCTATGCCATCTCATCGGCAGGGGTGGTCCACGCCATCACCCGCGCCTGTAGCCAGGGCGAACTGAGTGTGTGCAGCTGTGACCCCTACACCCGCGGCCGCCACCATGACCAGCGCGGGGACTTCGACTGGGGCGGCTGCAGCGATAACATCCACTATGGCATTCGCTTCGCCAAGGCCTTTGTGGACGCCAAGGAGAAGAGGCTGAAGGACGCACGGGCCCTCATGAACCTGCACAACAACCGCTGTGGCCGCACGGTCAGTGCTCATGGGACACCCGCTATCCTGTCTGCTGGGGAGGACTGGAGGCTTTGGGGTCCTTTCCCTGCGCCCTAAGCCTTGGGGACAGGAGCAGTGACAGCATGGCAGCTGGGAGAGCCCTGCATTCAGACAGGCCAAAGGGGGAGGGAAGAAGGGAAATCCCAACTCTAACCAAAGGGCAGCCAAGGACCTGTTGGTGGCCAGGGCTGGGTCTGAGCACTGCCTTGTGAGTGTCCCCTGCTGGAGACGAACACTCCCAGGCATGGGGGACTTGAACTCTAAAATGAGAAAGGAGATTTGCCAGCACTTTCTGACCCTGGGGATCAAATGTTCAAGCAGGCCCCAAGTAAAGAAAGACAGTGTTGGTCCCGGAGTCTTCCCCAAAGAGGGGGTCTCACTTTGGAGAAGGTCCAGAGTGCAGGGGAGCTCCCCCCCCCCCCCCCCGCTCCGCTCCCTATACTACTGTGATACAAAGCAAAAACAAAAGCAGAAAGAATGGCTGGCGTCTGGGGGGCAGAGAACCACCACTGGGCCAGTGCCAAGGGCCTAAGGTTTTAGCTCCATAAATGAGTGGACAGGGGTACGAAAATCAGCAGAAGAGGGGAGTCTCAGGGGAGAGCCGAATGAAAACACCAACAGGGAACTGTTCTGTAGTCAGAGCCTGGAGGAGAAAGGCAAGTTCATGGATAGACATCTAAAGAAACCCATTCCTCATTGTGCTGCAGGGGTAGGGCACTTGCCTTGCACACTGCTGACCCACATCCCATCTCCAGCACCCTATACGGTCCCCTCGGTCCCCTCACACTGCCAGGAATGATTTAGGCGCTTCCTGAAGCTGGAGTGCAAGCTTAGCACAGAGACAGGAGTAAGCACTGAGCACCATCAGTTATGACTCAGCAAACCCTCCCCCCCCCCAAAAAAAAAAAAAAACCAAGAATTTAGAGCAGGAGAGCTCAAATAGGGATCAAGGCACCTGCCTGGCATCTGGCCGACCCCAGTGGTGTTTGGGGGACTATGGATATTTTTGGATGAATTTTTTTCACATTTGTGCAGCCAGCCCGGCCGAGCCGTGTTCAATTCCTTCGTCCCTCTCAGAGAGCCTGGCAAGCTACCGAGAGTATCTCGCCCGCACGGCAAAGCCTGGGAAGCTACCCGTGATGTATTCAATATGCTAAACACAGTTACAAGTCTCAAAAATGGAGCCGTTACTGGGCCCGCTCGAGCAAATCGATGAACAACGGGAGGAGAGTGCTACAGTTTTTCACATTTTAATAATACGAACATACAAAGGATTATGCATCTATAATGTCAACGGTCAGTTATAGTCAACAGCAGTAAAAAAGTGCTAACTCACTTATTTAAAAAGCACACTCTGGTCCTTGGGAGGGCTGGCCATGCTCTCACCTGGCCATGCCTCACCTGTCTCTGCCTCGCCTGGCTCCCCGCAGGCCGTGCGGCGTTTCCTGAAGCTGGAGTGTAAGTGCCACGGTGTGAGCGGCTCCTGCACCCTGCGCACCTGCTGGCGGGCCCTGTCCGACTTCCGCCGCACCGGGGACTACCTACGGAGGCGCTACGATGGCGCTGTGCAGGTCACGGCCACCCAGGATGGCGCCAACTTCACAGCTGCCCGTCAAGGCTACCGCCGGGCCACCCGAACTGACCTGGTCTACTTTGATAACTCCCCCGACTACTGCGTCCTTGACAAGGCTGCAGGTGAGGAGGGGGCCAGCGGGTGGCCCAGCTGCGGGGGTTGCTGCAGAGGGGTCCGCTCCCCACAACAAGAAAGCCTTTCTGAGTCCTAGAATGACTTTTTTTTTCTTGGTTTTTGTATCACACCTGGAGGTACTCAGGGGTTACTCCTGGCTCTGAGCCCAAGAATCACTCCTGGCACTGCTTGGGAGACCATATGGGATGCCCAAAGTGAACCCAGAGTGGCTGCTTGCAATGCAAACACCTGATGTGATGTACTATGTCTCTGTCCCCAAGACAGCTCACTTCTGCCCTATCTGCTGGACCCAGGGTGTCCCCTGAGCTCCTTGAGGCTGTGGACCACTCCTTGTAGCCCAGCCTCTGGACCACAGTAGGCATTTTTCAGAGGGTGTTTAAATGACTCACCTACTTCAGTACTGAGAAATATGTGAACAATACAAAAGCCTTAGGTGTAGTTTTTATTTTGGGGGGTGAGGGAGTTCAAAGTGATTTTTCTTGCTAATGAAAGCAAGTAGAACAGATAGACAAATGCAGCTGCAAGCGAGGTGACAAGGGAAATCAAGAAGCATCTTTGGAAATATGGAACTTAAGTGACTCCCCCAAGTGTTAGGAGGCTCTGGAAAGGGAGAAGGAAGAACGGGTGGATCTGAGCTCCACTTAGGCAGAGTGGTGCATGGGAAAGCAGAGATAGGGCGAGTGAGGGCTTGGGGAGGGGGAGGCCATGAGGAGCATGAGAGGCCTTATCCGACATGCTGCCATCAAGATTCTGGAGTGGGAGTTGGGGAAGTGAGTACAGAGGAGGACCCCCCCCCCCCCCAACCACCACCACCACTGGCGAACATTTGGCAGGAGGCGGTAGAGCCTCACGCTGCAGCCTGGATAATGGTGGTACCTTGGGGATGCTGGAAGGTGATACAAATAAAGAATGGCAATGCGTTGCCACCTCTGCTCCTGTTTCAGGCCCACAGAGGTTCAATTAGGACCGGAACTGCATGCTGCCCAGCTCTGTCAGGGGCTACCAGGTTCCACTCTCTCATCAGGGCATGGGTGAAGAGCCTCCAGGCAACCTCAGCTTCTTTGGGACTATGTTTCCAGCTGCACTGCTGTTCCTGGAGAGCCAAGTGGCTCAGAGCAAAACTGGGCACAGAAAAGGGGGGGGGGGGGAGAGGGGGAAGGGCTCCACCCAAGAGGCAGAGGAAATAGCTTTGTGTGCTGGGCCAGGAGGGTCTGGATTCGCCTAGGGATTTCCTGCGATCAAGTAGGCTGACTGCCCTGGGAGGCAGTCTGAAGAGCAGCTCTCCAAAGGCCTCGGGATCATTCTGTAAGGAACGTGGATGCCTGTAGATCTGCAGTGCATGGAAGATCTCTGGAGTTTGTGAAGATGGGTCCTACGCCCATTGGTTTTTCTCAGAGGCATAAAATCATAAACCCAAAATGAGACCCGGAGGTCAAAGGGTCTAAGTCTTCTCCTCCTAAAAGGAGTATGGAGCTAAGAACCCCTTCCAAAGCAGCGTCATCCAGTTGAGCTTCCTGTAGTGATAGAAATGTTCTCCATTGATGCTCTCCAGGTACCTGAGTATTTGCCCAAGGAAATTTTAAATTTTATTGAATTTTCATCAGTGTAAATCTACGTGACACATGACTACATGTAGCTAGTAACTTATATGGTAGAGTATAGATGAGGCTTTTGGTACACAAGAGTGCTTGAGTTACAGTAGAGAAATTCTCTTATATACTATGTAAATAGCAGACCTGGCCAGTCCGTACTTCAGAGCAGTGATCTACTACACTTTGGATTTAAACTCCTGTCACTGAAAACAAAAGCCTTGCATATACCTCAATTATATGTAAAATGTTCTTATGTTATATCTATGTTCCATTGTACTGATATGTACATATACAATACATATTTTTCTCTGTGTATATGTGGTTGTGCTAGGGATCTAAGCCAGGCTCTCAAACAAGCAAACCATGTACTCTTACATGAGCTATAGCTCAAATCCCAAAAATGAATGTTAAATTGATAAAATTTTTAAACTGTAAGGTTTTTAGCAATGTCTTCCCAAATACCCATGTGCAGAAATTACTGAATTGATTTCCCACGTTATAAGCCCAGGCTAGGTATTTACCACTTCTGGATAAGGATAGGACAAGATGCTCTAGGATCCATCCATTCGGAATGCTGTGATTTTATTATCTGTTGGCAGGATGTCTTTTGCCTGCCAACATATTTTTGAGAATGAAGTCATGTGCGTCCTCTGTGCAGGAGATAACCTCTCCTTGGGTGTTCCCATCCTCTCTTGGGTGAGGCAAGGAATTCTTTAGGAATTCCTTAGGGGTAGGCCTCCAGCATGCTAATCAGTTAACCCTCTCAATTGAACAGAGATGATAGGACAGTCTGTCAAGATAAGTTCTATAATCATGGCTGTTTTCTTTTGTTTTTGGACCACACCCAGCTGTGCTCAAGACTTACTCCTGGTTCTTCACTCAGGGACCACTCCTGGCATAGCTCAGAGGTGCCAGAGATCCAACCTAAGTTACCCGCTGTACCATCTCTCCAGCCCCACATGCCTGTTTTCATAGGAGAAAACTAAAGCCCCAAGAGCCTGTAAACAACTGGCTAACTCAATCAGCTAAAACCCGGCAGAACTGGAATTTAACCCAAGACAATCTGACGTTATATCCACGCTTTGAATAGCCATCTCACCATCCTGCTGCCCTGTGCAGCCCAACTTAATAAAATGTCAACAAAGGGCCCAAAATGCGAACATAGGACAGCAGGATCTGAGCTGTGGCAAGACTTCTTGGAAACGATAAATTATAGGCTGAGTTGTTTTTTTAAACTTTTTTTTTTTATTGAGGTAACTTTGGCTCACGATATTGCATATGTTTGAGGGGTACAATTTCACACTTTGGAAATAGTTTATTATGGAAAGTGTCCTACATAAAATAGCTTTCAAGGCTGGCTTAGAGGAATGTGGGACACGGTGGGAAAGGGGACACTGCAGGTGAAGTCAGCAGCCTCCGGGGAGTTTTGGGGGTGGGAGAAAGGTCAGAGTGAGGCACGATCATTTTGGCTAGTGAGCGTATTTTCAGGAAATGGGATTTTCTGTAGTTTCGTCAGAGGATGTGGGTAGAGAGCTCAGAGCAGCTGAAGGGAAGGTAACTTGGTTCTCACTCTCTGCCCTGACGCAGGTTCCCTGGGCACTGCAGGCCGGGTCTGCAGCAAGACATCGAAAGGAACAGATGGTTGTGAGATTATGTGCTGTGGCCGAGGGTACGACACGACTCGAGTTACCCGTGTCACCCAGTGTGAATGCAAATTCCACTGGTGCTGTGCAGTGCGGTGCAAGGAGTGCAGGAACGCTGTGGACGTCCACACGTGCAAGGCCCCCAAGAAGGCAGAATGGCTGGACCAGACCTGAGTCCATGGAGACCTCACGCGCCCACCACTGCAAACCTCCTGACTCAGAAGCACGAGACCTTTGCATGCGCACCTTCCACCACCCTTGCCGTGGGCTGCCACAGCTTCTACTGAAGGACTGAAGAGTGATCCAGAGGTGACTCTGGCGTCCTGACTTAGCCCTGGGAAGTTGTTGACAGGGGATGTAAGAAATGAAATGGCTCCCTGACTCCCCCACTGCAGGTTAGAAGGGAGCGTGGACGAGGTAGGGGGTCTTCAGAGTAATGTGAGTTGCACTAACGCACAGTCCAGGCCCGTGTCACTTTTCCCCTCACTGCCTTTGACACTCCTTGTGTGTACAAGAGGAAGGTACCTGGAGAGCCTCTTCGTGTTCCCACCTGGATAAAGGTAGAAGAAGAGAAGAAACCACGTCCCTCACCTGGGTCAGTTTGAACAGACTGCTGCTACCCCAAGGAGAACTCTGAGGCTATACATTCTTTCAAGAGCCTGGGACTGCGAGACAAGAGCTGCCATGGCGGACACGGTTCCATTCACATGCTCATGTTTATGAATCGCTGTGTTTTATAGAGGAAAAAGTTATATAACTATACAAATGTATATTCTCTTCCATTACTCTTTGGTTTTTCTTTTACTGTACTGGACAGCGCTGCTTCTGTTTCAGTGTGTTCACAGCATGGAGGGCTCCTCTGCCCGACAGCATTCCTGAGAGAGATTCATTTAGGAGGTCTGCTGAGACCTTGAATTTTTTTTCAATGCTTTTTTGTTTCGATTTGGGGGCCACACTTGGCAGTGTTTAGGGCTTATTACTGACTCTGTGTTCAAGAATCACTCCTAGTGGGGCTTAGGGGTCCTTATGTGGTACTGGGAATTGAACCTGGGTGGGCTGTGTGCATGTGCCCTACCTGCTGTACTGTCTCTTCCCTCAGTGCATTATTCTTGTGGTCAGCAGGTTTAGGAAACAGTGAAAGGTACGGACTGATGGAGGGTGGTAAGAATAGCAGGCCTGATCATGGGCTGTAAAGGCAGAATGGGAATCACTGGTGATTGTTTAGAAGTCCTTGAAGCCGGGAGCAGGAGCCTATGGCCATAGGGAATGGAGAGCTCAGGCTTGTGCCAGGTGGTAAAGAGCTTCCAAGGCAACCTCTCCCCCATTTATTCAACAAATCTTTACTTTCAGTTATCACCATTCACTCTGCATTTGGCTTACATAGGAGACATGTAATAGAGAATGCCTTCCCCGTCACTGCCTACTGCCCCAGCAGATGTGCAGCAGCTGAGCCCCTAAACAGAACAGGCTTTGTAAGCTCTATGGCAGGGCCTGGAAACTCACTCCCAAGACGGTGATGTCCTAAGTATACATACATACATACACACACACACACACACGTGTCTGTATATAACTATATATTAGACATATCCTCATTTTCTGTCATATAGGACAGTGGTTACATCTTGCTGTGTTTGATATTTCGATAGATCAGACTACTGTAAAAATCTACAGTTAATGACAGATGGGTTAAAATCAGAGTTAGGCCACTCACTGGTATCATCTGTTAAGCAAGATACCCTAATGACCTGACTTCTGCCTCTTTACTGTAAAAAGAAAGTGAAAACCTTTCTCAGATGCTGAGTTTTAATTATGCCCTAAACTGCAGCCAACACCCTCTTACCATCAGCCCTAACTGAGTGTCTCTCCTCAGGACTCCTCTCTGGCCCATGAGGTACCAACAGCAGATGATGGGGCAGAAGACTCAGCCTGTACAAGGAATTCTGGGTATAGCCCCCCTCCATTCCTAAGTTGCTCCCCAACATCCTTTGGGGTGCTAGCATGTTTGTGGAGCAGTTTCACTCAGCGCAGGAAACAAAAGAAATGAGGGAGCCATAGCTCTGGGCCATGGGGGCAGATTTATTTAGATGATAGGACTAATATTTGTGTAACCTGCTGAGACCTGTGTGGGAGAGTTTAGGGTGGTTTTTCTTTTGGTGAGGGGGTTTGCTCCGGTTTCACATCCATTAACACAAAACATGAGCTAGTCAGAGCCCTTGTGGTCTGTGGTGAGGGGATTCCTGTGGAGAAAAGGGACTGAGTGAGTCAGACCAGGGGAATGTCTTCCTTGCAGAGTGGAGTCAACTGGATAACTGATGAGCCAATGGTGGGATTAGGGAGGGGGAGTGGGAGGAACTTCTGACATCTTGAGCTGGAATTAAGAGGAGGAAAGCTTTGGGGTAGCTGGAAGGTAAGGGGCCATAGTCTGCACTGAAGAAAGGAGTTGACTGACTTTACAAAGATTGGTGCTGCCTTGCACTCAAAGTCCCTGTCAGCTCCGGGCCTAGCAAGAACATCTTGGATACCATCTCAGTGACGGCAGAGGCTTCCCACAGAAAATCAACTTGGTGTGAATCTACTTGGGCTTCACGACCCTTTCTGGTCTTACCCCCTACCCTGTGGGAGAAGGGGGGCCTGTTCTGGCCTCTATAGCGCTCCTTGTTTTCCCTGAGCTCCAAATTGTAGTTCAAGACCCAAGTTTTGCAATTTCCTATACATGGTTAAGAGAAAAGCAAAGCTATCCAGAGAATGAGAAGCTTGAAAAGTGAGGTGGTGGCAAGAGAAGAGGTTCATCTGAGCCCCACTATGGAGACTATGTGACCCCAAGAAAGAATGATGGCCCTGGGGCTAGAGAGATAGTTCAACAGATAAGGTGTCTGCCGCACACTCAGATGACCTGGGACCCCTAGCACCACACATGGTCCCCTGAGCCCCTCCAGAAGTGACCCCTGAGCACAGAGCCAGGACTCAGCACTGAGTATAGCCTGGTGTGGCCCAAACAAACAATCAAAGGCAACAGCAAAACAATGCCAAGAATGATGGCCAAGAATTAATTTTCTCTCTTAACTCCTTTAGCTTGCTTCTGCATTCCAAGCGGCGCTCGACACCTGGCATCCATTCTGCACTATGCAAACAGAAACTAATTTATTTGGAACAAGCAGCAAAATGAGAACTTTATTTGGTGCAGTCAAGACTTCATCTAGTCCTACTGTCCTTCTTCACTATCTCGTCTCTCCCTCTCCATCCTTTGAACAGACCAGTGGGGTCTCTGTCTCTTTCCCCTCTTCAACTCCTTTCTTTTGGTCCTTATTCTTTTTAGTTTTGTGTTCAATTTTAGTGCAAAGCACTGCAGAAAGTGCTAATTACATACAACGTTAACTTAAAGGACTCGATCCTTTTAGGATCAAGTTCGCTGAAGTACACACTGGCCACACCGCCTACAGCCAGGCTCGCATGTAGAGGAATGCCAGCCTGGCTGGGGAGGTAGCTCAGTGAGCTGGAACTCATACCTCGCAAGGGGAGGCCCAAGTTTGATTCTGGAACTGCACTGCAGTCTCCCAATTTGCAGGGGGGATGAACCCCATGTGAGTGGCCCCTGAGCACCACAGGGTATAGCCCCCATACAAAAAGAATGTCAGTCTTAACCAAGCCCTATAGATAAATGCCAAGTTCATGTGCATGTGCGTGCATGTGTGTTTTGGCCACATCCAGCAGCGCTCAGCACTTACTACTCCTGGCTCTGTGGGCCACATGCAGTGCCAAGGATAGAACAGGAGTCGACTGCAAATAAGTGCCTCACCTGCTGTACTATCTCTCTGGCCCCCGGAGCTGACTTGTATTACAGCTAGTCTTGAACAACAGCACTAATCCATGCTCTTCCTTAGAAAGAAGCTGGGAGAATGACAGCAGAGGCTTCAGATTAATGAGAAGAATCAAGCACTGTCTGGGCGGAGGGTCTGTTAAGAAGCCTCACAGTCTGCGTCACTCCCACACCTCTCTTTCATTCACTCCATGGAGCAAAAATATCAACCACCGGTCCCCTTGCCAGATCCTCAGATCTGCTAAGGACATCAGTGTCTACATGACTTAATGTAAGAGAGACAATCAGGAGATTCCGCCCCCCCCCCCAGCCTTTCGAGGTGTTTTATTTAAATGCCCTCCTGGTTAGAGGGCAGAAGCCCAAGAGGACACCAGGGAGAGTCTGTTTCTCATCCCTGTGAGGCCGGCAGCCCCACTCTGGAGCCAAATTACGGCACAGGAGAACAATGTGGTGCATTCCTGGGCAGGTCGGGGGGACCCTGGACTGGGCCCTGGAGAGAGGTGCCAGACACAGAGCTCTCCATAAGCAACCCTGCAGCCCCCCCACCCCATCCCCCGGGTGCAGAAATGAAATACGGGAAAGCTTCGCATTACACAGACCGGGGGCTCACACCTGGTTATTGATGGCCCTGGAGGAGGCCTCTGCCCCCACCCTCCACTCAGGATCTGCCTGCTCTGCTGGGGGTGGGGCAGATTCAGAGTGAAGCTGGAAACCAAGAAAGGGAGGCTGCTTTCCCTGTCAGCCTCTGCTCGGCCACAGCAATGAACACGTGTGGCACACATGTGGACGTGGAGTTTCTCTCCAGCTGCCTGCAAGTGCTAGGGATCCTCTTCCCTCCCATTAACTAAGAACGAGGGTTCAGTCACATCCCTCAGACAACACAGCAGGGGCGCAGGTGTCATGGGGACTGTCCCAGGTTCCCTTATCCATACACACAATGGCAGTTGTTTGGTTTGGAGGCCTGGCACTTCCACGATCAGAGAGAATCAGGTGGCAGGAACAATGACCATCCGGGCAGAGTGGCTGAGACAGAAGAATGTCGGGGGGCGGGGGGCAGAGTGCTGCCCTGGAGCAGGTGAGGTGCATGGCTCACATAACTGGGTGCTAAGGCACCCTCACCAAGCCTCACGACCTGCTGTTCTGGTCCCTGGTTAGAAAACAGGGTCGCTCTGGGGTCCAGAGACGCCCTCACGAGTGAGGAGCCAGAGTGGGGAGATGGTGCCCAAAACAAGGGAGCGTGCCCGGGTCTGCACTGCACCGAGCTTTCTTAAGAGCTGGTTTTCTCTTTGGGTGACTGGCAGGTTTCAGGCAGTGGCCAGGGGGATGTCACTGTATGGCTAGGGACAGAAGATAACCAACTTATAAGCATGTTTCTCTACTTCTCATTCATGGCTTAAAGATCTCTGGATATCTTTGGGGCAAATCATTTACTTAAGATAGTTTACCCATCCTAGATTTGAGAAAGCAACATAAGCATTGTCCCTGTGGGCCCCACTCCTGCACTCTCTGAGTTTACATGTTGCCTTTGGTCACTCCCATTCTGCTTGTATGTCTATGATGGAGTTGAAAAAGGAGAGCTGAAATGTGATGACTACAATACCACCAGCCACTGTCAGCAGCACAACCCGACAGAAGAGCTAAGCTGAAAAGAAGAAAAGGAAGATAGTTTAATCCATGGCTAACCAAGCCAACACATTTCAAAGTGGGACTTTTCTAAGAATAATTGTGACATTTATTTAAAAACAAAACAAAACACACACCTGATCATTCACAAAGCACTTTAGCACACACATATAATTATCACAGCATCCCACAAGGCAAGAATTCCTCTCACTGTACAGGTGCTGCTCAGAGAGGCTCAGTGCCATGCCTAAGGTCACATGGACAGCAACAGGCTCAGCCAGG